AGGGGGTGGGGCAGGGGCAGGAAGAGGTGGGGTGGGCTCAGTTGCCCCCGGCCCCCCAAAGTAACTTTATTTTCTGCCGGTCTTTCATTGTTCTGTGCGTCCTTTCCAGTGGTTTGCATGGTGCAATAAGCAACGACTGCCCACTGGTCCCGCTTGGCGGAGAAAGGCTGTTGGAACCGGCTTTAGAGCCACGGCCACAGTTAACACACGTGTGCAGGGGCCGTGTTCAGTCGGGACCCGATGCTGTTGAGCACTGGGAAGTAACTTTATTTTCTGCCGGTCTTTCATTGTTCTGTGCGTCCTTTCCAGTGGTTTGCATGGTGCAATAAGCAACGACTGCCCACTGGTCCCGCTTGGCGGAGAAAGGCTGTTGGAACCGGCTTTAGAGCCACGGCCACAGTTAACACACGTGTGCAGGGGCCGTGTTCAGTCGGGACCCGATGCTGTTGAGCACTGGGGTCAGATATCTAGGGCTCCAAAGCTGCAGATCTCAGCTCCCCAAAGGCTGGGCTGGAAGCCAGTCCTCCCCCCACAGGCCTGGCCCATGGACAGGGGGTGAATTTCACACTCGCAGCTGATTTCAGCGCAGCGGCTGTTCTGAGAGGGGCTGAGCTCTTGGACAGCCGGGAGATGCAGTGCTAGGCTCTGCCTCTGGAAGAGAGAAGGCAGCTTGTCCAGGAAACCAGAGGCTGGCGTTTTCCTTCAGGCTGCCAGGGAGAGGGATTCTTTTGGCAGAGCCCCTCAGGCCATTCTGCCTCCATTTGCGGCAGGTCTCTCCAAATCCACCCCCAGGCGCCTGCCCCTGGGCATGCTGCGGATCAGGGGTGGAGAAGCAGCTGCAACCGGAAATATCTCGCCCGTCCCGATCCTGATGGAGGGTGTCACTCTCGTCTGTTCCTCCCTCCTCCCCCAGATTTCTGCTGGGGCGTAAGTCTAGTTCCTGGGGCAGCGCTGCACATGGGAGGCAGTGGAGCAGCACTGCCTCCTGTCACCCTTAGCCGTGCCCCCTTCCTCCGCTCAGCCTGGGGGTGACCGAGGTTACAGCTGCTTTGCACAGCCATAGCCAGGGACCTGCTGCTGCTGGAATGTCGGACGAGCACCCAACGGGTCCTGACTTTCCCGCCCCTTTTCTCTAGGCACAACCCGGCCTCCCACCAGAGAAGCAGAAGACGATGGAGGGAGCAGACACATACAGCTCGAAGAGCAGCAGATCCTGCAGGCGAAGCAATCCCTAGGGTCCTACTGCCCCAGGCAGTCCCGTGCACAGCAGGCTCAATGCATGTAATCCCAGCTCAAACAGGCCCCAGGCCCAGAGAGTTTGCACCCAGGCAGGTCAGGGCTTCAATACGGGGTGAAAACGGCTTTGCAGGTGCCAAGAGACAGAGCCCCCGGTTGCATCTGCCTCATGACAACACAGGAGCTGGGCTCGCGCATGTCCCCTAGTGCTGCTGTGGTTGTGCACACAGTGCGTGCGCACGCATACTGTGCGCACCCTGCGTGGTGGTGATCACGCACCCAGGGAGCCCATCTCGGGGGTGTTATCCAGCCCTTGTGCGCAGGCCTGTGCACACCCGCACAAAAATCCCTTACAAAGGTCGCATTTTTTAGGCCTCCAGGCAAATGAATGACTGTAATTCCCTGGACGAAGCAGTTATGGAATGAAACTGCTGGGCCTCTCCTCCCACGCAGCTCAGCTCCCGGGGCTGGAAGCCAAGGAGCAGCCTGACAAGTGAGCAGCTGACACTGTGTTCTTGCATTGTCGCTGTGCAAACCACATTTC